AGAGTCACTGAAATAGATGCACTAACTTGGCTAGGCTCTTCATTTCTTCTAAAGTCAGAACATGTGATAGAACATTTTTACTGTTGTTACAAATTATTTTATCTAGTTTATTACATGAGAATAAGGCTTTGAAATACAAATTTGATAAAATACTGTCAAAATATGATAACATATTACTATTGTGTCTGCTTTTAAGTTTTCTGCTAATAGTGATAGTACCTGAACCTCTTCTTGTGATCACACAACTAGAGCACCACGCAAGCAGAAAGATGCAGGGCAAAGAGTCAGACCTACTAAGTGGTGAGAATTTAAAAAAGTAAAATAGGCCTGGTTTGGAGTAGCATCTGATAGATTTTCTCCTTTTGTTCAGAGTTATAGAGTCACAGAATTTCAGTAACATTTTTTCATCAACATTAATTTCCAAGACTTATTTGTAAGATTCAAAAGAAGTGAATCTAACAAATATTTATTAATTCATGAATCTAATAAATATTTATTAAGTACAACTAAGAAGTTGGCACAAAGCCCCTGCCTTTAAAGAACGTATGGGTGATAGTAAATTGAAATCCTAATTCTGCCTCATTCCCCTCAACCTGTTCCTCCTGCAGCATATCTCAGAAAATAACTCCACCCTTCCAATCACTGAGACTGAAATCCATGGAGTCATCCTTGAATCCTCTTTCTCACACATCCCAACTAAATCCTTTAGGGAGTCCTTTGGACTTTTTCAAAATATAATCAGAATTTGAATATTTCCAAGGCTACCACTTTCATCTAAGCCATAATCAGTACCTAGATTAATACAGTCCACTGAAAGGTCTCCCTATATCTACCCTTGCTCCCTAGGCTATTGTCATCTTAACATCTAGAGTGATCCTGTTAAAAATTTTAAGTCAGGACAAGTCATCAAATCTCTGTTCAGACACTTGGATAGCCCCAATCTCACTGAGAAAACAAGTGAAAGCGTTTACAGTGGCCTACTGCGAGACCCTACGTCAACTGACCTCCTGCCAAGCCCTTTTATTTCTATGACTTTCTCTCCCTCTTGCTCAGTTAGCTCTGACCACAACTGTCACCTCCTTGATGGTCCTTAACCCACAGTAGTGTGCTGATTAAGATTTAACAGCGGGCTCTCAGAAGAAAAAATACTGAATGTCAGCTGATATCCATGGTATAAGCACTCCCACTATGGCCTATTTCGAGCTACCAGTCTAACATCACAAATCACGGAATTATGAAGACATGCTCAGGAGCACATTGTTATATAGTATTTCCATCATGCAAACACCATTGATGTAAATAATCTCAGGAACATATAGATAATAGGACTTACGGCCAAGATGGAGGTGTAGGTAGACACACTGTGCCTCCTCACACAACCAATATTAGGGACAACAACAATTTAAAAACAAAAAAACAACCATATCTGACAGAAAATTGAACTATATGGAAGTCCAACAACGATTCATCCAGACCAGTAAGAGGGGCAGAGTCAGCAGCCAGCAAAGAGAGGTCACAGCAGAAAAAAGCAGTGGTTACCTGGGTGGTGTAGCTCAGTGGATTGAGCCCGGGCCTGCGAACCAGATAATCGCGGTTTGATTCCTAGTCAGGGCACATACCCCGGTTGCAGGCCGGTTCCCTGCAGGCCAGTTCCCAGCAGGGGATGCATGAAAGGCAACCATACATTGATGTTTCTCTCCCTCTCTCCTTCCCTTTCCCTCTAAAGATAAATAAATAAAATCTTAAAAAAAAAAAAAAAAGAGTGGTGGTTGGCGGACCCAGGAGCACAGGCAGCAGCTGGCAGACCCCTGGTGTGGGGTGGCAACAGGCAGACCCAGTGAGGAGTGTTTTTTTAATATTTTTTATTGATTATGCTACTACAGTTGTACCATTTCCCCCCCTCATTCCCCTCCACCCTGCACACCCTCTTCCACCCACATTACCCCCTTGAGTTCATGTTCATGTGTCATAAGTTCTTTAGCTTCTACATTTCCCATATTATTCTTGCCCTCCCCTTGTCTATTTTCTGCCTACCATCTATGCTATTTATTCTCTGTACCTTCTCCCCCCTTCTCCTCCTCCCACTCCCCTGTTGCTAACCCTCCATGTGATTTCCATTTCTGTGGGTCCGTTCCTGTTCTAGTTGTTTGCTTTTGTTTTTGTTTTAGGTATGGTTGTTAATAACTGTGAGTTTGCTGTCTTTTTACTGTTCATATTTTTTACCTTCTTTTTCTTAGATAACTCCCTTTAACATTTCATATAGTAAGGGCTTGATGATGATGAACTCCTTTACCTTGACCTTATCTGAGAAGCACTTTATCTGCCCTTCCATTCTAAATGAAAGCTTTGCTGGATAGAGCAATCTTGGATGGAGGTCCTTGCCTTTCATGACTTGGAATACTTCTTTCTGGCCCCTTCTTGCCTACGAGGTCATTCTTGAGAAAACAGTTGACAGTCTGATGGGAAGTCCTTTGTAGGTGACTGTCCCCTTATCTCTTGCTGCTTCTAGAATTCTCTCCTTCGTTGTAATCTTGGCTAATGTAATTATGATGTGCTTTGGTGTGTTCCTCCTTGGGTCCAATTCTTTGGGACTTTCTGAACTTCCTGGACTTCCTGGAAGTCTATTGCCTTTGCCAGATTCTCCTTTATTATTTGTTCAGATAAGTTTTCCACTTGTTGCTCTTCCTCTTCTCCTTCTGGTACCCCTATAATTCAGATGTTGGAACATGTAAAGATGTCCTGGAGGTTCCTAAGCCTCTCCTCATTGTTTTGAATTCTTGTTTCTTCATTCTTTTCTGTTTGGTTGTTTCTTTCTTCCTTCTGGTCCATTTCATTGATTTGAGTCCCAGTTTTCTTCCCATCACTATTGGTTCCCTGTGCATTTTCCTTCATTTCAGTTAGTGGAGCCTTCATTTTTTCATTTAATTTGTGACCAAAATCAACTACTTCTGTGAACATCCTGATCACCAGTGTTTTGAACTGTGCATCTGATAGGTTGGCTATCTCTTCATTGCTTAGTTGTATTTGCTGTGGAGGTTTGATCTGATATTTCATTTGGATGGGTTTTTTTTAATATTGTCTTGTCATGCCTGTTGGGTATGAGGGGCAGAGCCTTAGGTGTTCACCAGGGTGGAATACCGAAGTAGCTGGGTTGTGACACTGTATGTGGGGAAGGGGTACAAGAGGGAACAGTAGTGCTTGCTCCGCTCTGTCAGACTCTAGTCCCTTCTGCTGCTTCCCCCAAGCAAACTGGGCCCTTCTCATGCTGATTCCTGTGTGGGTGGGCTTGTATACCTTCTAAGACCCTGTGGGTCTCTCCAACAAACACTCCTGTGAGGATGGGATTCTCTCCCAGCATCTCAACCCTCACAGGTGTTTTGAATCAGTGTTTTGAGGCTTTGTTTCCTGGAGCTGGGACCCTAGATTGCGCAGTCTGTCTCGATCCCCAGTTTTGCCTTGTTTATCTGTGCTCAAATGTGGAATTGCCCGGTCAGCCAGCTGCCTTGTGCACCGTGCCTTACTTCCCAATCGCTGCCTCACTGGTTCTGCCTGTTGCCACCCTGCGCCTGGGGTCTGCCAGCTGCTGCCTGCACACCCAGGGTGCCTCGTGTGTCCGGTGCCACTGCTTTTTGTGCTGCAACTCCTCTCTGCTCGGCTGCCCAACTCTGCCCCACCTACCAGTCTGGATGAATGTGTCGATTTTAACTCCTTGGTTGTCTGACTTCCATACGGTTCAATTTTCTGTCCGTTCTGGTTGTTATTTGTTTCTAAATTGTTGTTGTCCTTATTTTAGTTGTTCAAGGAGGTACGGTGTATCTACCTATGCCTCCATCTTGGCTGGAAGTCTGCTTTCTTTTATTTTACTCCCTTTTCTGATTCTCATTGCCTGATAATGGTGTGTTCATGTATGTGAAAAAAAATGGCTTATCTTTCCAACCCACAGGTACCAATGTTATCTTTTCTAGTCTGTTCTTTTTTTTTCTTATATATACAGACCCCAAATGCCTGCTCATTATTTTTATTTTTGGCTTAGAAGTACTTCAGCAAAAACAACTATGTGGCTTCCTTTGTCCTGCTTCAGAATTATCCTAGTTAAATTGTACTTCATTTCTCACCTCTCCATGAGTAAGAAACCCATTGCTGTATGTCACCTTGTAGAACTCTGTACATTTCTCAAACTGTAACTCCTAGACTAGTGGCCTTGTTAGATGGTTTTTTTTAAACTATGTTCTCAAAAAGGCAGCAACTCACTTTCAGATAATTGCTGATTCTATTCTCAAATGATTTGAGGTTTCATAGACTCCATATAAATAATTCACTGAGGTCTTGGACACATAGGTGTTCAGGTTCACTGATAGAATAATTATAATTTTCCATAAACATACTCAACAGTGTAATTGAGGCTGATAGGAACAAATCTGCCATCTGGACTCCACCTTCTCAGGTCAATTTTTTTCTCGAAAAGAGTATCTGTTCCCTCTCACTTATTTACTCATTCATTGGTTGCTTCTTGTTTGTGCCCTGATCTGCTATCAAACCCCCAACCTTGGCGTATTGGATGATGCTCTAACCAACTGAACTACCCGACCAGGGCCACAAAGTACTTTTTATACTTGATCTTAACCAAAGAGCCAAGAAGCGATCCACAAAGTGCTTTTTAAAAGCAAATAGAAAAACAATTTTGTATAAGATATTCAGAAAGAAATTCTCTCAGTGCTTACTTTCAGGGTTTACAAAGTCACAAACATGCCCCTAAGATTCATTGGAAGAAAAAGCCCATGGAATTGTGAAATTGTGCTAAGTGCATGAATATACCCAGTGATCAAGACCCATGATATGTTCAGCCCAAATGTTGTTTTTTGACGGGTAGGGAGAAGTGCATGCTGAAAGGTCACTGCTGCTATATCTCTGAGAGCAAAGTGGTATCGATTTTCTCAAAAAGAGTGAAATAACCAATTCCATTATTCAAGTAATAGATTTATTGCATATCCTTACTTTAAAAAATTTTTAATACATTACATGGGCTTTAATATTATTATTTGTATATTCCTTGAAGAGCTCACAATCAGGAAAGATTGTCCTCAGAGACAAAGCTGAAATTAAAATTCAAACATTTTTCATTTGACTCTGGTGTGATTGTAATAGCAAATATTTATAGCTTTTCTAGGGAACAAACAGGTACTGTTCACATATTGTGGTAGATATATAAATCAATACAATTTTTTTAGGGGACACCTTGGTAGTACCTACCACAATAATAAAGTAATAATAAAATAATAAAATAATTTAATAGAAGCAAATGACAAGTGGTTGAAAGGAATGTACGAGTTTGTTTCCCTTCTTTTAAAAAAAATTCTGCCTGAGCATACATTTATTGATTTTATTTTTTTGTTCAGATTTTATTTTATTTTTTAGAGAAAGGGGAAGAAAGAAAGAGAGGGAGGGAAACATCTTGGTTGCCTCTTGTACACCCCCCAACCAGGGACCTGGTCTGCAACCCAGTCACATACTCTGTCCAGGAATTGAACCAGAGAACTTTTGGTTTGCAGACGATGCCCAACCCAGTGAGCCGCACTAGTCAGGGCCATTTATTGATTTTAGAGAGAGGAAGAAAAGGGGGTAGGGGGATGGGAGGAGGGAGAAAGAGGGCGGTAGAGAGAGAGAGAGAGAGAGAGAGAGAGAGAGAGAGAGAGAGAGAGAAGTGTCCATTGGTTGCCTCTTTTACCTCAACCAGGGACAGAATGTGCAATGTAGTTATATGTCCTGACTGGGAATCAAACCCACCACATTTTGGTGCATGGAATGGTGCTCCAACCAACCGAACCACAGAGCCACACTGGCTGAGGTTGTTTCTCTGATTTCTCACAAAATAAGAAATACTGTTATTGAGACAATGTGAACTAGTAGAAAGAACATAATCATGGGTTCTAATATCAACTTAACTGTAGAATGTTCTACAGTTAGATATTAGAATAGTTCTAATATCTAACTACTGTAGAATGGTTTGCACCTGTGTGTGAGTATGACAGGGAGTGGAGCAAGAGCAAGATCTTCTTACAGGGCTGTTGTGAGAACTCAGTGAAATACTGTACAAAAGGGTCTCTAACAGTCTGCTAGACAGCAGACAGGCATTCAATACAGTTTACTTACATTTCCTTACCCACACCCCACACCAGGGTTTGAAATCTGTTTGATTCCAACACATAAGTTAATGAAAAAAGTATTAAGACACATGTCAGACTTGTGTTCTGAATTTGATCTTGAAAATTCAGTGATCAAACATAATTATCTGCCCTGTCATTTTTTTGCACTTGCTAATAACGAATTTATAATGAATAGTCCAGTTTGGCTAACTCTAGGCAAAAAGATAGGCTAAATATTTACTCTGATTTACTAGTCACACAATTGTGAACCCCTGGGGGCATGATTTTAAGATGGGATGAAAAGAGCCAAAGAAAGGGACTGAGACCATTTGAACTCTACATTCAACGAAGTCCTTCATGGATCTCTTCTCCTTCACATCCATTTGATCCTTATGTGGCTGGATGAGACAGGCATATATGATATCATCCTTATTTAGTGGGTGAAATGGAAACAGGCCCAAAGAGGTAAAGTGACTTTCCTGAGGTCACAGTAGGAGCAAAGCCAGGTCTCCCAGTTTTTAATCCTATTGTTATGCCACCTTAAAAACAAAACAAAACAAAACAAAACAAAACAAAAAAACCAGTGGCCTAGTCAAAGAGTTGAAAATGTGGAGGAAAAAACTTAAAGTACAGGACCATCCTGGTTTTTCTCGTAATAGAATGTAAGTATTCCAAATGATCAGTGTACATCATATATATTATACATTATAGTTTCATATTATTCAGTTAGGCAATGAATAAAAATCTTAGGTGTTAATCACCCAGTATCATTTGAGTAAATCTAGGACTTAAGATACTGGTTTTGCTTTTCTTTCAAATTGGAGACTGAGGGAGGTTTCTTTCTGAGAGAAACACATCATGGTTGCCTCCCCTAGTAACTTCCAACCAGGATGGAACCCACAGCCTAGGTATTGCCCTCACCAGGAATCCAATGAACCTGCAGATTTTTGGTGTATCAGAGAACACTTCAACCAACTCAGCAACCAGGCTAAAATTGAGGGAGTTAATTCTTAAGGATGCTTTGGTATTAGTCACTGATCACTGTGAGTGAAGATTTGCCAGAGAAAATTACCTTGATTTAATAAACCATTTGCAAACTTCTTGGTGGCACAATGGTTCCACAAAACTTGAGTGGGCTGCTTGCTGTTTTCTTAGGCAAATAATCAGGAAAGCTGATCTGGAGGGGAATTGAGGACAAACCAGTTGCAACCATGTGGAACGCCACGTGCATATGACTTTCAAATACCATTTGGTGATAAGGTATGTGAAGGGCAGCTATGCTAAAAAGAAAAACCGAGGACAGGAGCAGATCAAGGGTACCTGGTAGGAGGCAGTTGGCATGCAAACTCACCCAGCAAAAATAGGCCATGTTAAACCAATTACCAGAATTACAGTTTTAATTTTCAGAAAGGATGGTTGTTAAAGTAGCCAAATTTCAATCTGGGGAGATACTGCATTAAAATTTGAAGGAGACTTGTTCCAAAATTGTTTTGTGTCTTTTCCAGGTCTCTGAGGTCACAAGACGCAAAGAGCTAACGCCCCCACCCCTCAAGCCTCAACCTACTTCTTGGTTATCCTTTCCCCAACTCCCAAACACTGGGCTTTAAAATAGATTAGAAAGATCTGGGGCCTACACTTGGCCTAAGCGGGTTCTTTTCGCTTTTCCTCCCCTCCGCAATTAAAAAAAACTGCGTGTGCACTCCCTTTTCTTCGCGCAGCCCCCACTTCAGGGGCGGGTCCTCATCCCGGCGGGCTCAGACCCCGCAGGTTGGCGGGAGCCGGCGGGGGTGGGCCACTGCGAATCCAGGAAAGCCGAAAGAAGACTGCCGCGCGCCGCGCTCAAACTCGCGCCACCATCAGCTTCTGATCGGCTCCCCACCCTCACCGTCATCAAAGGCGCCTAGCCAATGAGAGAGTCGGAAGGGCAGGGTCTGCGGTACAAGCACAAGGAGGGGGAGCGACGGGAGGGGAACGGGAAGTCGAGGGCGGGGTGCGTTTGATGGACCGCTGCTCAAACCAATCCTCCTTGCGGCTTCTTTTTGCTCTCTTCTCTGCTGCGTTCAGCTCTTGCCCCACCTCCTCATCCTCCACCCCCCCTTCTAGCTCTTTTTCGACCCGCCCCACTCCCTTCCCCCACTCTGCGGGCAAATCGCTGCTGGAAAGAGGCGGGGGCCAAAGCGGCGGGCTCGTGTGGAGACTTGAGGTGGGAATGACGGGCGGGCTGGCCAATAAGAGGCAGGCTGATGGCGCGGCTGTGGCTGGAACCGGCCAATAGGCGGGCAGGCTGGGGGCGGAGGCCCAGGTTCCAAACGCTCCGCGGCGCCATGGGCTGAAAACTCAACCGAGATGGAATCTCCCAGTCTGAACCGGTTTCAACCGGTTCCGAGTTTGAGGCACTAGGAGGAGGGGGAGAAGCGGCTGCAGCGGCCGCGGCAGGAGCAGCGGGAGCTACAGCATCAGCAAGAGCAACCGTAGCTACAGCCCCGGCGGCGGTGCTTCTTCCAGTCTGTGCTCCTGCAGTCCGTGCAACCACCCAGAGGGGGAGGGGGGAACCACCAGTCGCTGAGGAGCAGGAGAAGGGGGGAAAGTTTAGGCGAGCCGGGGTGGGGGGGGGCCCAGCTCCGGAGCCGCGTGAGAGAGAGAGCCGTATTTTGGTAGGGGAAGTCGGACTGCAACTGGCAACAGAGCGTCCCCCGGCCGTGTGGACTCTGTACCCCTACTCCTGCTGCTCCTGCTGCCGCCTGTAGCTGGAGGGTCCCCCTGGGGCTGAATCTTTGGGACTTGACCCCGTTCCCCTCCCCCTCCCCTCACTCCCCAGCCAGGCGGGAGCATTTATTCCCCAGATTAATTACCCCTTTTTTTTGTGGGGGGCGGGTGTGTGTGTGTGTGTGTCGGGGTGAAGTGTCCCTGAATACTAAATATTGCTGAGCTTTTTTTTTTTTTTTTTTTTTGCCCTCATCTCCTTTTTTTAAATTTCCTTTTTTAAGGTGGGGAAACTGAAACCCACCTTGACTTCCTTCCCTCTCCCCTCTCCCCACCTTCCCTTTCCCTAATTCCCCGACAAGGAAGGAAGAAGCAGTTGGTTCAATCTCTGGGTAAGTCGACTGTGTCTTCGGGGCCGGGGGACGGGCGGCGGCATGGCTGGGAGGGAGGAGGCCGACTTGGGGCGCGGCGGCGGCCGCGGGAAGCGAGCTGGGGAGGCGGCGGCAGGCCCACAGCGGACCCTGCGATTGAATGGAGCCGCTTCTGCCCCTGGGAGATGGAGGCGGGGAGGCGGCCGCGGGAGGGGAGTGTTTGCAGGGTCATTCGTTTGTACGGATGACTGTGGAGGAAAGCGAAGAGCGTGATAGTGAAGCACGGCCCCTGCGCGGGGGTGGAAGGGCTTCCCCAGCCCAAGGGGCTGGAGAGAAGTTGGGGTGATTTGAGAAACATCTCTGAATTATTAGGAGTGGAAGTTTCCAGAAATATTTAGTGCAGCAGCATTGAAACGTCCGCCTGCATCACGTGGCTGTTCGGTGGAGAGCTTGGGATCGGGGGAGGGAGGGGCTGCCGAGTCTGCTCCTCCTGCAGGGAAACTCAAAATCTTCAGGTTTTTTCCTTATTTTGCAGAGTAGAATTAGAAATAGGAAAGGTTAGTTGATTTTTCAAGAATCTGGCAAGTGGGGTTTCGTGCCGTAGTTTGTTTTCAGCGGCTTGAGAGTTGTGATCGAATTTTTTCTGCTAGTACTGTGGAGTGGATGATGCCCTGATTCTCCTTAATTTCCGATGCCTCTTGAGTTTAGCGTGGGTGGGAGGAAGTGGTGTAGTAGAGGAAGCATTAAAGATTTGTCCAGCGGGGATCTCCTCTGATCACGCAGAGGCCATGCTGCCTGGAGAATGAGGCGGTGAACTTCTGGCGCCTGGTTTTGCCTCCTCCGAGTATGGGCGGGGTGAGTGCGTGCTCCGGTATGCTATAGTTAGAAGTGCTGCAAATGTGTTCCGGTGGGAAGCGAGGGGAGGGCGGGCCTTAGTGAGGTGTGTTTCTACTGAATGAAGCAATTGCTCACACATCTATGGAAGCAGTCGTTCTCCTTGTAGAGACTTAAAAAAATTGATGTGTTTTTTTTAACGTAATAGGTAGTTATCAGTAACCAACGGTTGTTTTTGGACGAGAATTGGCAGTAGATAGCCGCCTGCCTATTGAGTTTGTAGTGGCAGTGAAGGTATTTTGGTAGTCACTTGTAAAGTCACCACATTGCTAGATAATCCCTTGCGTATGCTCTCCAGTGAGTAGATTTTAGGATTGAGTGTTCCAAAGAGGGGGAAAAAAGCATTTGTGGTGGTTTCACCTCTCTCACCATGGCAGTTTATCTGCCTGGTTGTGTATTGTAAGAGTGTTGGGACACTACTGTAAGTGGAAAGAATGTTTTGGACGCTATTTGACTTGGGGGACTAAATGTGCTTGGCATTGGCCAGAAAGCCGCCATTTCTGTACTACGTCCAGTTCAAGAATAGGTAGGTCATTTCGAAGATAGCCGCTAGTTCTAAAGATGGCAAAACTCTTAAGTGTTTAACACAAGTTTGTTTGTATTCTGATTTTTGGGAAGAATTAAGCACGAAGAACTCTGAAAAAAGTACTTGAAACATTTAGAGTGACTTTATTATTTTTCGTTTGGGCTATTAAATGATGATAAGATTAAACAGGAAAGTTTGTTCAATCTTTAACTAAAAAAATCGAAAAGTCGATATGTAGATCTTGGTGCTTTGTGGACATTGTTGTTCAGCCTCAACTTTATATTAGTGTTTAGATCAAAGGTTTTTATTGTGTGCCAGGTATTCGGTATTTTAAAAAACGTTTAAAAACTGCTATAAAACTTTTTGAAATCTCAAGTTTCACTGTCATTGATGGATCAAAAAACTTAGGAATAAAAACCCTTCAAATTTTAATATCTTTATTTTTACCTTATATCTAACTTAATGGACTCATCTTCCGACTTCTGTGTAACTGACATTTAATAGAACGTTTGAGATAAAATCAAAGTTGCTGCCATTATTGTTAAGATCATTTTTTAAATGCTATAAAATAGCCAAGAAATAAAGCCTTTTTCCTATCCAGCTAGTTTATCCAAATGTAATCAAATTAGTCACCTGTTTTCTGATCCTGGAAGGTTTTTTATGAGGGGGAGAAGTGGAGGTGACCATCTGACCTTGTTGGGTCTAAATACAGTGAGCCATGAGTTCTTTAACTTGAGGTTTCATGCCTGAATTCCAAAGCATCCTGAGTCTTTTGTAATTGTGTACAAAACTGAGTTTTTTAATATGGCACTAGCCACTGTCCTGTGGATGTGTGCAGGCCAGCATCTTGGAGTGGAACCCTATTAAAAGTATAGATAACATTGCCTGTGAACCAGTAGGTTTTAGCCAGTGCATTTTTTAAGTGAAGAGGCTCATTTTCTGTTGTGATAGAATTTGTTTTTATTTGGAAAATAGTTGTCAAGCTTTGAAGTTTTTACCTGGCCGATGAATACCTGGAAATGGGGGGGGGGTCCTGATTGCTACCATAAAGCTTTTTTTCTAGATCATTCATTCAGGGAATTTGTTTGCTTGTAATTTTAATCCCCAAATTCATTGAGGGTTGAAAGAAATAAAAGTACATGGTATAATTGAGTGCAGAAACTTAAGTTCTTTATAGAATATGAAGATGCCAAATTTAAGACGGGTGGTTCCTGATAAATAAACATTGGTACACCTAATGGCGAAATTTTCTGTACCACATTTAATTTTTAGCACCTTCTTGCCTTTTAAGCATATCTTAAAAATTATGGTATTGTACAATGAGGGGAAGTGAATTTTTACTGAACTAGAAGACGGGAGGAAGCATATCCCCTTGACTGTATCAATTTTAATAGACTCATTTTTTTAAGAAGGTTAGAGTAACTTTAAATAAATGTTAGTAAAGAACAGTATAATTTCTCTGTGGTCTAGAAAAGCTTAATGGCCCCTAATAACTAATATGTTTATGGTGTGACAGTTACTTCTGCTTTTATTTGGTTTTACTATTAGTTTTTAGGTAAAAAGTCTCTAAAATACTCATTTGTGTAAGCATTTGAAGTAAAATAACTTGAGTAGAAAGTTTCGACTGATACCAAAACTTCATAGATACCTTACTTTTTTTTCCAGTTATCTATGCCAGCAATTATGACAATGTTAGCAGACCATGCAGCACGTCAGCTGCTTGATTTCAGCCAAAAACTGGACATCAACCTTTTAGACAATGTGGTGAATTGCTTATACCATGGAGAAGGAGCCCAGGTAAAGTAGCTGGTCAAAACTTTACAACATTGCAGTGTAACAAAGTTGTTGGGTTTTTAAATTTTAATACAATTTTGAATTATCCCCATTTAAAAAGTATTCCATAGTTTGTGTTAACTCAGAATTATAGATTAATTCTAATGAGAAGTTTCTAGAGAAAGAAATTGGGTTATATATTGACACGGTTAGAGTGGGATAATAATCTTGTTCTGTTATTCTTAAGCATTCTCCACTTAATAAAAGTGCAACATATTAAATGCTGTGTAGATAGTAATGGTCGTATATACCTTATACATATTTAATATATTTGGAGTTACTGTAATTATAGCTTTGGAACATTTAAATTACAGAAGTACTTTATAGATAAAACTTGTTTTAAAAATACAACAATACCAAACATCTTCACATTACTTGAATTTTAGCATTTGTGAACATGGTACTGTTAATGTAGGGAATTACCTGGTTTTGATCATTGTAAGGAGTTCCTCCCCTCAACCAATTGGAAGATAAGACAGGAATGTTTGTAAGTTTTTAAAATGTGCGTGTTAAAAGAAACTAAAAAATCTTGAAA